TATATATATATATATATATAATGATGAAGTTGTGATCTTCTGGTTAGGAGAATTTCAAACTTTCTTTTGCTCTTACAAGAACAATAAAAACAAAAAAGCTGTTGCCAGTGAAAAAACATACTGATCCATTATAAATTCTATTTTAATATCATGTAGTAAAATAGATACTGACAATTGTATTGCCAGAACATATAATTAATAAAAAGGAAAAACTTTGTTCTTTAGTAGAAACTTCTTCTAATATCATTGAAGACATCATTGTAATTGGCACCTGGTATAATCATAGACATCTTTACTGGTTGGTAAATATTTTACTGGCACTATGCAGCCTAAGAATGCAAATGAGAATGCTGTCTATTGACCTCTGATGCACAGAGGTGGTCTGTAGCTCAAGGGTCTGCAGTTCATGAAAAGAAAGAATACAGGACATGCTGGCATTTATATTGGGAATCTTTATGCATTCTCGGGTTGTATGCAGTTTTTTCAGAGCTTGCTATCAAGTACATAGAAGCTTATAATCCTTTTTATTATGATATTTATCCTTTCATTATGAGCATTTCTAGACCATATGTGTATAGCTGGTTCAGGCCCTGGAACAGTGATGATCCTGATACTCTTTTTGTGGTTTTTGTCGCTTTTAAGAATGTATACTACAGTAATTCAGAATGCCTTATTGTTTATGACTTCTACAAAGCACTTTTCTTCGCAGTCATATTGGAAAGTAGATGAGCAATAGGTTTATTTTGCATGGACAATGCTGGGGCCAAAAAGATAATGGAATTTGGTTTCCTGTCCAGGCATTAGGCCATTTTGGAGGATTATACAACAAAGCAAGCTACTTCAGAGTTTGTACTACATACATATGAGTCCTCAGAATTCAGGTTTTTTTTTCTTAAAATGGAACAAAAGTTCCTAACATAAAATGTCCTAGTGATTATCATCAATATTTTGGGAATTTACAAATGTTCTGATTTGTTGGAAGGCAAATTACATACCATTTGCAATAAAGAGTTCACAACATGTTACAGTGGAAGTTCCCATCTTGATCATGGTGTGATGATGACAAACTATTGTGCAAATTAAATATTAACTAGCTTAGGGGCAGCTAATTCCTTCAGTTATGTAATAAGCAATTTCAAAAGAAGAATGTATTATCAATGCTGACCAGCTGAGGGTTGATCAGCCTTCCATCCTTTGGAAGTTGGTAATGAGGAGCTAGATTCTTGAGGGCAATATGCTGACTCTAAACTGCTTAGAGAGGGCTGTAAAAGCACTGTAAAGCGCAGTGGTGGGTTCCGGCTCCTGTTGCAACCGGTACGCTGCAATGGGACCGGGCATCCACCACGTGAATGCTCGCAGCGCATGCCTGCGTACTCACCACCTGCGACACTCCAGCTGCTCGGCGGAGCATTGCGCAGGTGCCATATGCCCTATGCGCATGTGCAAATGCCCCAGTTGGCTCAAATAGAGGTAAGAGGAGCGGGCGGGTGGGTGGGACCTCCAGAGCACTGTACCAGAACGGTATCTGGTGCTCCCAGCAGGCACAGGTACACCCGTACCGGGGCATACTGGTCTTATCCCACCACTGGTGAAGCAGTATATAAGTCTAGTGCTATTGCTATTTCCAACTCAAAAAATTGCTGGGAAGAAATAAGCTAATCAATCTTTCTGTCTTCTATCTTTTCCATTGTAATGATTGCTACCTGAAACATGAATGAAGCAGATATATATTTAGTATAGGAAGGTTTAGTTGAAAGATCTACCATAGCTAAAAAGGACTGAATTAGGTTTAAGACTATGAAGAAAAATAAATCCCTAGGAAGTTTCCTCCAGGCATCCAGCTCAGGATATTGACATTGTTCCATTCTCTGAAGTAGCCTGTGGGAGGAGTCACTGATGGGTTATTCTCACATCCAATCTGCCCAGAGACTGAGGTTAAAGTTGAGGCCACTCCCCTCTATTTCCTCTGCATGGCCCCAGTTTAATCTCAGTCTCAGCCGGAATGAGTACTATATTTGCTTGGCTCTTCGAATTGGACTTGAGATTTTGTTTTTTTTCCATCCTTGATTCCTTCCACCTCCTCTTCCTTCATCTCCTTCTGTGTGTGAGTTTTTGTGCACAAGCTGGGCTTTGTTGCTGTTTGAGGAGCCTCCAAACTGCTGGGTGACCATAGGAGGGCTCCAGGCCGTGCTAGAGTAGAAAAGAGGCTGCTGGAGGAGTGGCTCGGCAGAGCTCGCTTGGAGTCATTGGACCGCGTGGTCGGCAGTTGCCATTTTGTTGATGGCAGCCATTTTGTGATGACACACGTGGCCGGAGCACAAGGATCGGCATTCCTGCCTCAGCTCGCCACAAGAGCTCTGAGGCCACTTCTGGTGCCTGCAGACACAATGGGCCAGCACTCTGCCGTAGCACCGGGGAGGGCCTCCAGATGGTCAGTGGGGCAGAGGATTCGAGCCGCGGATTGGCGGCGCTGCTGTAAGAGGGCATGCTGGTTCGAAGGAGCTCCGAACCGCACAGGGCAGAACCAACCCCTGACTGCTGATTGATCCAGGAGAGTGGAGGTGGTGAGGCAATGCTTATTTCTGTGAGTACTTGTGAGCGGGGAGTGGTGCAAAATGGCCGACACCACAAGGCGCAGTGGAACAGCTGCCCTTGGATCACCAGGTGATTGCAATCCAGGCGAGGGGACGTCCCGGGAGATTGCTCCATTAACTCCATTAAGAGGGCAGGCTCCCTCTTAGAAGAGCACCTCCAAGTCATCAAGGAAAGGGGGCTCCAGCAGGCAGCAAGAAACTGGAGTTAGGGTCACTAGAGCTGCTGGGAGGTGCATTCGAGATAGCATCAGTCCCTCACCATCCAGATCACACTCTCCCCACATGTCTTCCCAGATGGCTGAGTCTCAGCATCATTCTCCCAGCTCTCTTCAAGGGTCAGTCAGAGAAGGTATCTCCCTGCCTCCCCTCTTTCATCTGAGCAATCTGTGAGTCCCCTTGGGGATCCCTTTCGCCACCTGGCGTCCGGGTCCACTAGGCCTTGTCTGGCTTTGCAATCTGCAGACTCCAGGCCTAATTTAGAGCCTCCCTGTCTCTCCCCGGCCTTTCCAGAAATCCCTGAGAGTTTTCATACAGCGGGTCACACATTCGACCTTGTGTTTCTCTCGGAGCAGTGGAGACGTGATCTAGATTTGAAGGGCATT